GGCTTATAATGTTCAAAACCGGGTTTTGATACTCATGATGGACACAGCAAAGATAGCCTATTCCGTAGCTTTGCATTTTAAGACAAACAAACAAACCAAAAATGTAATATATATTTGATCAAAACAATAAGAACAATAAAAAAATCACATGATATAGAGCCCTCTACCGAAAGTTATGGTTAAAGGCTCAAATGTGAACAGCAGATGCATGTTTTTCCACTAATATGCCCACTAATATGGGACAGCGGTAAGTTTTCCGATTTACAACGCTAAAATCAGGAGTTCGATTCCCTGCGGTGGATAGCAGATAGTCCGATGTGGCTTTGCTATAAGAAAAGAAACACTCCGCCAATATTTCCGCTATCAAATACTGAAAATATTCCATAAATACAAAATGCTTTTAAAATTAAGAATTACTCGATTGCATAAGTAATTCACTTTCACCTACTTCTTAATACTTGTGCAAATATTTTTCGATAAGAAAAAATTGAATGTAAATAAACAGTTTTATACTTTATTATTACACACTGTGTTTAAATGCTATTTTAGGCTTATGACCAAGGTCTGGGCACTGTGACTTATATTACACTATTTACCTAACTATGAAAGCTATATAGGATTGGTAACTATGTCGTATTAACAGCTGTCGCTGAAAATCTCCCCTTATTTCTGTTTCAATTCAGTGTTCAATATTTATTATCTAAAGGTGAAAACATTTCTGAATTGTTTTTCTTTCTTTTTTATCAGAATGTATTGAATCATACCAATATCTATGAACCAAATTCAAGTGTTTACTCTGCCTCTATTTTCAGAGTTTGGTTGTGCTTATCAATTAATAAACAGTTTCAGCAACCACACACAGAGAACAAGGAGACCACTTTCACAGTGGTAAAGCTCTCAGTTGCTAATATCTTGAATAACAATACAAACAGCAGTTTTGAAATAAGTGTCACATACAATGAGCTTTTTACCATGCCACTTGGTTATTGGTTGCTTACATAGCACATTAAGAAATGTCTGAACAAAAGCTGTAGCTCTAAAACACGTGTTAGTTGTAAAGCATGGTGAGTTGTCGGTGTCACCATGCCATCTGTCTTAGTTCTCACAGAACGGGTTAACACATCACTTAAAACAAGTTTAGGTACGGATTAAAGTTATGGGGCTGGTTAAATAAGTAGCGCTAAGTGTTTCTTACCAACTAATGTGAACCCCTGATCAACCTACTTATTACACAAGAAATGGTGATAATATTTTGATTTTTAACAATTTGAAATAAAGGACAGTACTGACTTTTTTTAACGTGGACACAATTAAAATCATGCTGTCTGCTCTAACTTTTTATATGCTTTTTTGTTAATGATGTTTAAGTTATTGGCTTCAGTAAGATATATAATAAAAATTAATTAGAAACTCGAGGGAAAGTAATTTAAAATATGTTAATTACAAGAAGAAGGTAGAGACAAGCATTCTTAAGTTCTATTACCTCACAACTTATAATTTGAATCCACTGATCCCAAATCATGATAGAATTGAATAATGCTATACAGCCTTTGTGGTCCATTTACGTATCAAAGTTGAGAGATTTTATTAATACATACAGAGGAACGTCAATTACAAGTGAATGGAGTAGTATGGGCATAATGAAAATGCCATTTGAATAGTCAGAATTTAGTCCGATATCTTTCATGTTTTTCAAGGTTGTGGGTGTATGTGTTCAAGCAAAATGAGGAGCAGGGTTGAAAATTAATGATCCAACATCTTATTCCAAATGTTCAATCTCAACAAAGTATGTTTCAAAATATATTATTGTGAAAAAATGTGTAGTTATGCACATTGCATTGTACTTGTACACATTAGCTGTAACTCCTGATGCTAAGTGATCTTTACGAGGTATTACTTTTCACATTTTATGTAAAGAAGGCAAGTGAAATATTGCTAGAGTGGACAGATTACATGCTTTATATGTTTCTGTTGCAGCCGTAGTAAAGTTCCATATGAATCACACAATAATAAACCCGATAACTCGAGCTTTCGGGAGGCAGACCTTTCAAAATCTTATTTAGGGGGTGAATTAGGATTTCAGATAATTATGATAGTAACACGAACACTAGCATTTTTTGTTTCAGAAGTGACCTGGCAAGACAACGTCACGTGGTGTGTGTATGAGATCGACTGTTATCCCCAGCAGAGTTGATAGGGATGATGTTGTATCTAGCATTTAATGGACTTGAACTATTTGCGATGAAAAGATATGTTGTCACGATAAATCAGTCCAAGTTTTGGAAACATTTCGATAAACTGCACGTAAGAAACAATATTCATTTGGTGATCCAAAACTTGTGGTGTTCTTAATTAAGAATAATGAGATAATAGTTAACTAAATATATTTTGTAAGATAACAGGGGGTCGGAGATGCACTCGTCAAGGGCGGATTAAATAAAGGGCTATTTTAAGTGGTGATATATAGGAAATGACAACAGGTAAACAAAATAAACAAATATTCATTAAGAACAGACAAAAATACATCATAATGGTCTATTTGAAGAATGAAATGAAATGAATTAAATGAAACTGAAATTAACTTAAAATAAAACGAAAAATAGTCTGAAAATCAAATGTTATTTTGTAGAAGTTTATATCAATCGACTTGTATTTACAAATACATTGCTAATCATGGGATTGTGCAGTTTGCTGGACAAACTAAAAAACGAAAACAAACCAACCAGCAAAGTTGTTAAAGAAAACCAGTTGTGATCAGGAGAGTTGGGTAGGAAGCTTCATCTAAGGGCGTAGGTAGCCTTAAACATTTGACTTAGGTTTTTGTTTCAAATAGTCCTTGATTAGCAACATCTTATATCAACAATCATTATACTTTTTTTTCACATAGATACAAATATGTTCTTAGATTTGACGCATGACAAATGTAACAGCTTTGGTCACATTATTTTTATTAATTATGAGATAGTAGTGTTACGATAAAATATTACTACATTACTTCCTTCTCCTTTATTTTAGCTTTGCCCTCAAGCCAATTGAACTTTAAAATATAAACTCAAACTAAGTTTTAAACACATATCTGTTACCTCTCTATGAGAATGGAATCAAACAAAATTATTTCAATATAAATACAACATCACTATGTAACAGTGGAATACGATAAGGCGTTCCACGATGTAAGATATACAGTACTATCTATTTCTATGAAACAATATTCTGAACACAAATACAAACTCACAAATAACAGAAAACAAAACGTATCTCTGTACCATAAAAGAGAGAGCAATTATACATATCAACAATACATCAAATACCTTAAGCACTAGCGCCCGTGGTGGCTATGCAGCAATTCTGTTTGTTTGTTTGT